TGTGTGTGTGTGTGTGTGTGTGTGTGTGTGTGTGTGTGTGTGTGTGTGTGTGTGTGTGTTACTTCAGGAAGGATCACAGACACTATGGCTAAGCAGCATTATAACTTGAACATCGTGGGCCTCGTCGGCTCCATAGACAACGACTTCTGCGGCACCGACATGACCATCGGTGCCGACTCTGCGCTGCACCGCATCATGGAGATAATTGACGCCATAATGACCACTGCACAGAGGTGAGCCGCTGGGTAATTCGGAACAGCACTGAAGCGCCTGGTGTTTCATAAAAGAAGCATGCACAAGGTCACTGGATAAGTGAGTAATTAGTAAATGAGTTACAGAAAGGAAGATGTGTCGAGCACACCACATGTGCTGCAGTGCTGCTTCAAAGGAGCAGATTTATGGTAGTAAACATACTGCACGTCGATCAAGAAAAGATTAGTCGGCGATTAAGTAATGCCAAACATTTTGTGGTTCCAGCTTTTCGTGTGTGTGTTGGGGGTTTTTTAGTAGTTGTATTCAGTTACTTGAACAGACATGGAGTAATGCTGATGATTAAGCATTACTTAATCTCAGCCCTATCAGAGTTATCTGAATATACCTGAACAGTGAATGATTAACTCTTAATGGAATGTGGTCTTTTGCACCATTCAAGGCTTTTGGCATGACTTCCATCTTGCCCAGACTTGCCTTCTCAGACACCAGCATGTTCTTTGTGTGTTTGCTGACATACTTTGTGGAAAAGAGTCTCACTGTAATTGTTTTGTACTTCCTACAGCCACCAGCGTGCATTTGTTTTGGAAGTGATGGGACGGCACTGCGGGTGAGAGTTGCACTTTAACCCATTTTGCTATCCCATATGCACTGCAGCTGCATGCAGCTCTTGTTATGCATTAACTGTCCTTTTATTCTTTGTTACAACTTTAGGTATTTGGCTTTAGTGTCAGCTCTGGCATCAGGGGCAGACTGGGTTTTTATTCCAGAGGCTCCACCTCAGGAGGGCTGGGAGGACAATATGTGTGCCCGTCTAAAGGGGGTAAGACACAAGTCCAGACTGTATGTTAGCCCCATGCATATACTGATTTACATTCACTGTGTGTATCCACATGACAGGTTTGGCCTGTGTCGAAGTAGACGAATTGGGGATAGTGTCAGTTTAGGCATGCCATGAAAGCAGGACAGTTTGCTAATGTCATACAAGCATCTGTGCATCTGCAAGGCACTGTGCAAACCAAGTCGGCTCTGTCCAATGAGGGTCTTGCCTCTCCTGTTGCCACCTCCAGCTTTTTTTGTGTACATTGATTAGTACAGGAAGCTCTCCCTGATTTATGGTTTTCATTTTTTAAAAGTTCCCAAACAGAGCCGTTTCACCAGATAAATTACTCCAGATGGAAATAACAGTCCTTCTTTGACTGTAGTTGTTCTGACTTTAAAGAACTTGGACACAGGTTTGTGCTTAATGATACCAATAACACGTTTTACCCGTTTCCTTCTAGAGCCGCACAAGTGGGGGGTCGAGACTGAACATCATAATCGTCGCAGAAGGAGCCATTGACATAAATGGCAAGCCCATCTCCTCAAATTATATAAAAGATGTAAGTCAGACAACGCACATTAATGCAGCACTACAATCTGAATATATCAGATACTGATTTATAGATTGTTTATTTCACTCCTGCAAAGGTCGGCTGTAGTTTTTCTTGGCGACAGCTGTTGCTGAGAGCTTTTTCAAATGCATAAAACACTGAAATTCTTCCATGTGTTTGTTTTTAAGCTGGTGCAGGAGAGACTGGGTTATGACACCAGAGTGACAGTACTTGGCCACGTTCAGCGAGGAGGAATTCCCTCAGCGTTTGACAGAATGCTGGTAAGCTGAACAACAGATTTCATATTCATATAAAACTTGTAAATATTGTTATATTATTAAGTAATAAATTCAGGGACATTAACAAAAATAACTGCGTCTCAAAGCTATTCTTTCAATATTCCTGATTGTCCCTTTTGGCTGACCATTAAAATGATAATTAAAGACTAGGACTGTGTGATATGACCAAAACCTCTTATCCTTATATAAGAATTCTATCGTCCAATAACGATATAAATCGCAAAAATGTAACATTTTCTGTAAATTCTGTGAATCTCGGGCAGCTCGACTTGCGTGAAGTGTTTCCAGCTGCGCGTCATGTAGCTGGAGTCGATTGTTTTAACCGATGCATGAAACTATACATTTTTAGACATAAGTTGTAACGGCGCCGTTTTCTTTGTATTTATTACACGGCGTGCTGCGGGGAAAAGCCTGTTCTAACGTTTGAGTCTCAGGTCTTTTTTTTAGCACTGGCGGCTCTTTTTTACTTCTCATCCGTAAATAATCTGCTCTTTCACGTGATTCAGTTTATTTTGAAAAGTCAACAGGATCTTGAGCTTTATTGTGAAAGGTTTATGCGGAACATAAACAAGCGGACACGCGATGGTGTTACCGTCGTTGTTGCTAACCATAACCCATAAAAACAGGCGCTTGTTCGTCCTTAGTGTGGTTATTTTAAATATAAGAGAAAGAGAGAACTTTAAGAAATTAACATAGCCACTACAGTGACCATCAAAACGATGAAAAAATATTGCCGTAAACAGTTTATTTTGCGACACCACGAAACAAATGATAGCGTAAAATGAAACGATAGAAGTTTTTATATCGTCATCTGATGTATATCGTTATATCGAACAGCCCTATTAAACACTATTTAACACAATGAACCTGCATTACTAACAAGTGGCCACAATCAGACTTAACACAAACTGATTACACGAAGAAAACTAGCACAGGATGTGTTTCTGTATGTGGCATAATACACAACAAGATGACCTGATACCGATAATAAAATAATCTATTGATGCATACTAACAAAGGCTGCCTGAGTAGATTTTTTTTTTTTTAAATATTCAAATTAGTATGAGGTTAATTCCCAGTATTCAATGTCAGTGCTGTCTTAATTGCACATATATCCAAACACGTGTTTCCAGAGCAGCATATTGGGTGTGGAAGCGGTCGTCGCCCTCTTGGAGGCTTCTCCTGAAACCCCCGCCTGTGTCATCGGCCTGTCGGGCAACCAAGCAGTCCGCCTCCCTCTGGTGGAGTGTGTGGAGATGGTGAGTCTCTCTCCTGTCCTCGTGTAATTTATTTGTAATGAACAGAACAGGTCAGAAGTGAGATGCTGAGCTCTGGTTTTACTGCACCACCCTTTGCAGACTAAGTTGGTGCAGACGGCCATGAATGAGAAGAGGTTTGATGAAGCCATTAAACTGCGTGGAGGGTGAGAGTTTTGATTTATGGCACCTTATTGTTTTCATTGCAAATTAAAAAAACTAAACTAACGATGTACTTTTAGGAGTTTTGAGAGCAACTGGAACATCTACAAGAGTCTCGCTTTCCACAAGCCTCCTCAGTCTAAGGTAGGTCTGGAGGACTTGTAGACAGTTTAAGCCATAAATGATGTGAAATGATCCCAGGATTTAATCTTGGTGTTCTCTTTTATGTCTGACTTATGCTTCCTCAGAGCAACTTCTCTTTTGCTATTCTGAACGTGGGAGCTCCGGCGGCAGGAATGAATTCTGCAGTGAGGTCGGCGGTGAGGTCAGGGCTCTCTCATGGACACAAAGTCTACGGGGTCAATGACGGCTTTCTGGGACTTGCCGATGGAGCGGTGAGGCTGTAATTTTTTGTTTTGTTTTGTTTGTTTGTTTTTTAACACTGAAGGAGATTTTAGCAGTTCCACAGTAACCTGTGTGAGACTGAAAGGAAAGTGTTCTTCAACCTGTCTGTCTGCAGGTGTTTGAGATGGAATGGCACAGTGTGGCTGGATGGACGGGCCAAGGAAGCTCACTGCTGGGGACAAAACGGTGAGTGTTTCACTGATATGAATCACTTTACCTGATCTTAAAGGCTTAACCTAACGCAGCAGTGGCTTAGGTGTTACGAGATTTTGCCATACGCTGATGACAAGTTTTGTTTAATTTCCTTCTTAAGGACTCTTCCCAACTCTCACCTGGAGAAGATTGTGGAAACCATCACCAAGTTCGAAATCTCAGCTCTGCTTGTAATAGGAGGGTTTGAGGTATAACAAGCACAAAAGTGTCAAATCTAAATTATTCGAGCCATAAGTTACCGTGTTAATATTGACCTGTATGCCTTTGACTTTCAAAGGGGTACCAAGGTGTGCTTGAGCTCTACGAGGCCCGGACTCACTACGATGAGCTCTGCATCCCCATGGTCGTTATCCCTGCTACCATTAGCAACAACGTCCCGGGAACTTTCTTCAGTGTGGGTACAGACACTGCTGTCAATTGTGCAATGGAGGTAGGGCTCAGCAGAAATATATTTTTGTATGGCTTTCTGTACGAATGTTGTTCTTTGCAGTGTTAAGTTTGAAATCACAAATGCTTTGACCTTTAAGCTGTTTAAAAGACTTGAGTTTATTTAATTTTTGTTCATTTTTATTATAATTTTGTGTATAAACCAAATAGAAACATTTAGTGTTTGAGATGTTATCTTCCAGCTTTGAAGACATGGAAAATGAAACGGTGCGGTACAGTTTATCACTCTAAACCTATATTAATAGCGGACACTCACAGGTTACATTGCTAGGTACTCCTGCTCACTGGTTCATTAATGCAAATATCTTATCCGCCAATTACATGGCAGCAATTCAACAGGCATGTAGACATGAGGATGGGGGGAAAAGAGCATGGTTGGCATGGTTGATGGTGCCAGACAGGCTGAGTATTTCAGAAGCAGCTGATGTAATTGGATTTCCCAACAAAACCGTCTCTAGAGTTTCAAGAGAATGGTGTCAAACGGAAAATATCTTAAAATATCATATTACAACCAAAGAATCAAATTCTTCTGCAGAGTTGTGACAAGATCAAGCAGTCTGCCAGTGGGACCAAGAGACGAGTGTTTGTGGTGGAGACCATGGGTGGGTACTGTGGATATCTGGCATCCGCTACTGGCATAGCAGTGGGTGCTGATGCAGCCTACATTTTTGAAGATCCCTTTAACATCCTTGACCTTAAGGTAGAAGAAAAAGATATTGTCTAAAGTCATTTTTGTGATGTTCACAGCACTGTTTCCTCTAATAATGTGAACTGTTTGCAGACAAATGTGGAGCACTTATCTGAAAAGATGAAGAAAGATGTCCAACGAGGTCTAATCCTGAGGTACGTAACATTTTATAGAGTGAACTAAATTTAAACAAGTGACAAATTAAAGGAAAAAGCTGTATTGCATGTATCCTTTTTCCTACAGTGAGGGCACAAGAGGTCACTGAATAGTTTGATAAGTCTAAAAATTGAGGAACTCATGCAGCGATTTGACAGTCACCCAATCTGAGCCCAAATGAACAATGGGAGATTTAAAATTGACATGTTAGGCAGCGCTCACAGGACTGTCTTCAGGTAGAACAGTACAGCTAAGTTTTAGTTTGCAGCTATTTACTCATAGAATAGAAGATGTATTATGTATTTTGACTTCATTATTTCACTCTATGTTCCATGTGAAGCACACAAATTGATGTATTTATAGATAGATTCAAATTGTGGAAATTAGTTTCCCGCCCATGCAACCAGATACCGGATAAGCAGCAGAAAATTATGGATAATTATTGTATAAGTGCCCCATCAGTTTTTATAATTGTCTAGCTGAGCCTGCATCCAATAACACTGTGGCACTCCTTTGTTAATCATGTTCTCTGTCATGACAGGAATGAAAAATGCCATGAAAACTACACTACAGATTTCATCCATAAGCTGTATTCATCAGAAGGGAAGGACATCTTTGACTGCAGAGTCAACGTGTTAGGACACCTCCAGCAGGTATGGATCAGTTTTCCAACTTTGAGTTGTAGTCAAAAGCCTACATAGACTCGTCATGGGAATGATTGTTTTGTGCTTTTAATGATTTCTTTGAGCTGTTCTGTTTTTATTGATTGTACAGCATCTTTAACAACTTAAAAAAAAAACAAAAACAACAATTAGGTGCATGTGTTTGAATTAATTTTGGATTTTTTTTTAATCAACATGCTAGACAGTGGTCTCGGGAATGTCTTAAGGTTGAATGAGTTTCGATGTCTTGCTAAATCAACTTTACTACGCTTTAAATTAACACCCAACTGCAGTTAAAAAAGCTGATGAAAACATCCTTGAATATTATCATTTTATTTCTGGTTTATGCTGTCCTCATGTTTGTCTCCAAATTTCAACTATTTAGCTGTTGAACTGAGATGAAGTTGAAGAATTTGGAGGTAGTCCTCGTCCTTTATTACTCCATTCACTTTTTACAATGTACCAGTACCACTGTCAGCAAAACAGCCCCAAAGCATGATGCTGTTAGTGTTCTTAGGTTCAAAAGTCTGACTTTTACTTCTCCAAATTTACCTTTTCATTGTGGCCAAAAAGGTCAATCTTTGTCTCATCTGACCATAAGTCTTTTATCCAGAAGGCTTTTGACTTGTCCATGTCAAGTTTGAAGGTGTCAATTTTGGAGAAAGGGCTTCTTTCTTGGCCCGTATCCTTATAGTTCATAGTGTTGTAACATTTGAATCACTGTAGACAATGATGCTGGTGTTCCAGCAGTTTCCACTTCATAGCAGGCTTGAGCCTTGGTGGTTCCTGCAAATCCTAACCAATTTCCTCTCATCTGAGGTTGACAGTTTGGATCTTCTTCCAGACCATATAGCTTGAACTGACGATCTTGGAATCTGTGGTTGGTCAGAAATGGCTCCAAGTGACAATACTTCTTAGATCGTCACTAAGTTCTTTGGACCTTCCCATTGTGCTGAGTAATGGTCAATCCAACGACTGCTATCAAACAAAAACCTTTTTATTCTAGCAGAGAAACTACCACTGTAGTCAATCATGATCATTGACGAGAAGCTAATAGTCCTTGACCTCGCCAAGCTAAAGCCATTTTAGAACCTTTTGCACATATATATTTGAACCTGTGTGTACAGTTTTGACCTTGTGTGGAGAGAAAATCCAAAAATAAATTCAAACGTGTGCACACAATTCATCATTCCTGGAAAAACAACAGTTGAAAGAGATCATTAAAAGCCCCAAATCAACATGACATTCATGCCTGTGATGAGTATATTTAAATGTCTGACCTCAACTGCAATTGGCATTTTGATGTGATAATTTTGTTCTCGGTTTGGGCTGTAGGGCGGGGCACCTTCTCCCTTTGATAGAAATTTTGGCACGAAGCTGGGCGTGAAAGCTATCGAGTGGCTTTCAGAGAAACTGACTGAAAACTACCGACAAGGTAGGTTTACTGCAAGTCGTGGATGGCATTGATAGAACATGAAGCAATCCTGAGTCAGACTTCAGGTGTATTGACTGAATTTTTTTCCACCAGGCCGAGTGTTTGCCAACTCACCAGAAACAGCATGTGTCATCGGCCTTAACAGGAAGGTTGTCTCATTCACCCCTGTCACTGAACTGAAGGAAATAACCGATTTTGAGTAAGTAATACAAAAAAAAATCTAAAATATGCTGCTTTTGGAAAACACATTGTCTTGTTTATTAATTATTATCCTTTTAATCTCCAAGGCACCGGATGCCCAAGGTAGAGTGGTGGTTAAAACTGCGGCCCATGCTAAAGATGTTGGCCAAGTACCAAACCAGCTTCAATGAATATGTCCCAGGAGAGATTGAACATGTGACTCAACGCTCCATCAGCATTGACAGTGGATTCTAAGCTCTCTGTAAAATGGCAGCATGCTTTGCACCTTTTAGCTTTTATCCATCATTTTTAATTCTCATCATCACATATCGTATGTAACCTTTCTTCACAAGCTTGGGCTTTCAATTTGACTGCCTGACTTCTTGTTTTCACGTAAAGATATTTCAATGCTTTCCATCAAAATGCAGAACTCCCTTGCTCTGCCCTCTGATATATCGGTTAACCTGATGGATTCAGAGGTTTTGTGTGCTCCTTCATGCACTAAAGTTGCTTTTATTTGCTCAGAGAAGTTCTGGTCATGATCCAATTTGTGCCCAGACTTTTTTGTTTATGCTTAGGGGGCATACTGTATGGGCACAATAGGTGGCGGGACCTTTACTCCATGCCCATCTCTTAAACTTGAATGACCATGAATATACTTTCTAAATGCCAGCACTGATCTCACCTGTGTACCAGTATTTATTTGACAAGGAATTCAGCACAAGTGTTTTCTTATTGTGCCAAAATCCAAGGGAGGCTTTGTATATTTAAACCACTGCTCAACAGACAGTCATGAGTGCCACTGAACAAAACATTTTATAGAGTAACTACTGACTGCCATGAAACAAGACTGTATGCAAGGTGTTATAAATGCTTTCTCTCCAAAATCATGAGTGAATGAGCCAGAAATCATATGATAAAGGAATCTTTTTAACAGTTTTATTACAGAGTTTTATTAATATTTTATTAGCTATAAATAAGAGCTACTAAATGTTTATTGAGATACTCTTATATAATCTTATTTAACACATGAAATGTCTGAATGTGACCTGAAATGGCCAGTTAAGTGTCTTCGTTTGTTTTGTTTTTTTTAATACTGTTCGACTGAAAACTGCTTCTGCCTTTTAAACCGAACAGCAAACAACAAAATATGAACACACACCTGTAAACAAACTAAACTTCACAAAAAACTATTTCACATGAACAATGAAATCTGTAAAGGAATATGAACTTACGTGTGTATTATTGTCTCTATATCTGTCTTAAATAAAATTCTATTGAACTCTATTAGAAATCAGTTAATTGTTGTTTGAATTTTCACTTTAGGTTAAACCTGCAAATTAATAATGACTGCTCAACAGAGCAAAAAACGTGTTGCTATTTCAGCTCCCGCTAATGTCACAACATAAGATGGAAGAACTTAACTTGAAAACACTTTTACAGCTCTTAGAAATTGAATGAAAATGGAAAATCATTTCCACTATTTTCTTTTTTAGCTGATTGAGGGCTCTTGGTGGCAAAAGCAAACTGGAAGTCCTCGCATGTCTCTGGTTGGTCAAACAGGAATTGAGGGCCTGTGAAATCATATACAGCACACATCAGTGGTCCAAAACGACACACCACACAAACACATTGTGGTTTGATACTTACTGCTTGAAGATTTAGATTCAGCGGTTTTCTAGAAATGGTTAATCATAGTTTAGTATGTTTGTTCCAAAACCGAGACGACATGAAGTAGAGTAGGCTTTCAGTGAAAAAAACATTACCTTCTCAGTGAACAAAGATCCAGTGAAACCGAAAAAGTCCTGCAAAGAAACCTGGAGGTAATTCCAAAAGCAGGAAAATACTTTTTTCTGTCTTAATTGTTTGTTGAAGGCAACTGGACATTTTGGGGGATTTTTTGGTTCATGAGAAAGTTTCAAGCCTTATCCAAGAGGAATCTGACATATTTAGCCTGCCGGAGTTGGTCCTGAGAGTTGCTGGCCCATCCTGTCATGAGGGCTGTTAAAGGTCACAGAAGCAATGGTGTGAATTCTCTGCAAAACACTGGCCCTCCCACATGGGTCACAGTGCGAGTGGCGGTTGAAACCACAGTTAATAATAGTTTTGTACTTTATAATCAGTTTTCATTGTTTTTTCATTTTGACTATTTGTTTTTAGTTAAGTTTAGGTTCAATTATTTTCCAGAGTTTTGTTTCAGTATAGTTTTTACTGTATGGTTGTAATTTACTTTTTATTAGACTCGTTGCTAGTTTTAGTCTTTTTAATTATTATTGTATAAGGAGACCATATGTTAGAAGCAATATTTAGGAAAACACATCCAACAATGCCCCATCAGGAAAGCTATAGTAACATTTTTACCAAAGTAACAGATACCAAAAACTAAGGATATTTCATTATTTTTCCTTATTTATTCCTGTTTTTTTTTATCTTGTTTTATTTTATTTTCCAAGTTCACAAAATTGTTTACGTTAGTTTTAATTTTTTTTTTTTAGGTTTATTTTAGTTACCACTGTTGCTTGTGCTGTACCAGTGTTACCGGCACATGCGATGTGACAATAAAAGTGAAAACACCAGTAAAGTTATCTCAAGACTGCATTTTAAGTAGAAAGTTTAAGATTTTAGAACTAACGCAGCCTCTTGGATGGGAAATAAAACATCGTCATGAGCCAAAAAGGACGTCCGGTTTCCCTAAACTCAAGCATGTAAGACACCATGAGCTGTATGCCTAAAAACCTACACAGTGATTTCTGTGAGATCATTTATTCCTCACCTCCTCCTGTGATGAGCCCACATCAAATCCAAATCCAGGAAAGCCTGGTGTGTTGGGATCAGAGTTCAGAGAGAACAAGAAAGCTGGAGATTTGGTCTCAGAGCTCCCTTGATCTTTGGAGCTGGCTGGGCTAAAGCTACAGCGAACACACGAAAACCAGTTGTCAGGACTTGAGTGAGTGTAATTCAAAGCATCAGACCACTCATCCAAAGTCTTACTTAAATGAGAATGTCGGGGTTGAAGACGCAATTGTAATTTTTGACTGAGGATCAGTCTCCTGAGATGGAGGCTGAGAAGAAGTAGCGAGTTCCTCATCGTCCTTGTCGCGTGGTGGCTGCTCTTCATGTGTAGCTGCTCCCTTCTCTATATCACCCTCAAAAATCTCCTCTGCATAGAAAACTGTGGGCAGCTTCTCCTGTCGAGGGGGTCAAAGCATTTCCAACAGTTAGGATGGATACTTGTAAAAGTGGGTTTTCCATTGTGGCAATACTGTTCTGTGGAGTGCCTCGAGCAACTTGATATTTTTCTGGAAACATACACGGCTTCTAAACTTCTCTGATACAGTAGAATAGATTATTAAAAGTCTTAAAAATTGTATTTCATTGATAAAAATGTCAAAATCATACTTTGCAGGTCTGGACTACATTTCCCACAAAACAGCACATTTCGGTCTGTTGTTAGGTTACCTCGTAACCCCTACAACCCCAGCTTTTCATGTAGGTTTCTGACAAACAGTGGTAATTTCTAATCCTGTGCTGGGTTTCTATATGATAAGCAGTGCGGCTTCTAGTAAAGGCATACAAAACTGTGGAATGCCTTTACTAGAAGCCGCAACTACCTATTTATAACACACACTGCTGTGGAGACAGCAAGGTAAACTAGGACAGCAAGAAGAAATAACAAGAAAAAAGAAAAAGTTATACATTCAATACATTTGGCAAATTTGTTTGATTAACTGGTTCAGGTGTATTAGCAGAAATGGCAAGTATAGTAAACTAAAAATCAGAAAACCTGGTGTTCTTGTGAAGTCTCCTCTTCCTGCTTCTCAGTGTGCATGTCCTCTGGCTGATTCTGGTCTGAAGAAGCAAATATTCTGTTCATGTGGTTTGATTAACACGATCATTCAAACTAAACTCGTGGCACCAGAGAGGCGCACCACAAAGCCAGATTAACAGGTTATGTCGAGCTTGAGCTTTCAGTATCACATAAGTTACCAAGGTCATCTTAATCTTGCTAGATGATGAGGATGACTGTTTGGGATTCAATTTTTAAAAATACATTTGTAAAAATGTGTAGGTAATTGCACAGACTTCCCTGTAATTATAAAACAGGATGGTTTTATTTACAGAATATGTCATTTGTTGTTTTTAAAAAAATTAAATTTCTCAATGGTGAATAGTGAGATTTTCTCTCTGGCTTAAAAAAGAAAGCTTGTGATTGCCCTTTTCTTATCTTTAGTCCTTTCTATCTTTACTTAACATATTTCTTTATCATCCAAAGACAGACTGAATTAGACAGCAATCAATCAATCTATATTATGAGTAAGAAGAGTCAAATAATGTCCCCTTTTAATGTGAGTGACCCCGAATACACCCTTCAGCATATGACTCACCACAAAACTGTTGACTGGACCACAGCTCCTTACTTCCTTCCTCTGGGGAAGTACTACAGGTGGGTAAATCCTGGATGTTTTCCTCATGGATCTCTTCAGCATTTACCTCTTCATCAGATGTTTTATGACCACTCTGTAACAAATGCTCAGATTTATCAAAGTGTGACATTATAACTGGAACAGCTTTAACTGCCTTTCATGATTGCTTGCCAGTGTTTAGATGCATTTAATAAAATGCTAAATCTGTACCGTTGTCTGATTGAGATGCAGAGAGGAGATGTCAATGGAAGGCTCTCTGTCCCTGGCTGTCTGATGATCAAATCCATTCTCTTGTTCTGTTACAGGTTGCAAGCCAAAAGCACTAGAAACAAAAAATGGGCTCTGTCAGTCAGAAATGACCATTCCTGTAAGCTATGTGATTATTCTTTGTGAGTGATTCACTAAAATACCTATCTGGCAGTTTCTCGGTGGAAAATGAAGTAACTACTGGACCTGTTCGGACAAAAATTTAAGGAACTGTATACCAAGCTGTAAAATGTTCAGCTCTAACAGAGCAAAGCTCAAAGATACGAAAGGTTTATCACCAGTAAGATGGTCCAGCTCCTTCTGCTTCATTGTTATTTGTTCATCCCAAGCTTTGATCCTACATTCAATTTCCTCTTTTTCAGCCTTCAGCACGAGGAGCTTTTCAGCAAGAGGGTTTTGTAAATAATATTCTTTATGCTCCTGGAAAATCTTTCTGTAGCTTGCAATCCTTTCTTGAAAGACCTCCCTGTTTAGGTATAAATAAAGAACATTTAACATGTCTGTTTCCAACACACAAAAGTATTAATCACAAACAAGGCTGCTAAATGAACCCACGTGTCATGGTTGTAGTTGGCTTTTCTTTTCTCCAGTTCTGCTTTCAACGTCTGCTCATATTGAAGAAGCAGGCCGTTAGTCGCCTTCATCCTAAATTTATATAAAAGACAAGCAGGTACTCTGTAGGTTATTTACTTTTACTCTGTCACTTGCTACATATTAATTAAGTACAAGACTTTTTTAGAACTTACAAAAGAACTAACAAAAAATGAAGCTGTTCCTAATCACAGGGTTTCTAGGGGATAGTGCACAACGGATCAAAATTTGATGGGAGTGTCCTTTGTTCATTACTTCACCAGTTTTGACAACAACACAGGCTGAAATGGAGCCTCAAACCATCATCCAGCCTTAACCGTGTGTTATAGCTGGCTGTAGACACTTGACTGGCCTCCTCTGTACATACTGACAACAATTTAAACTAATGGGATTCATCACTACATAAGACCTTGTTGCCCGATTTTCAGTCCAGTCCCGTGTAATTTGGCATACCTCAGCCTGGCATACCACTTCTTAGGAATGGCTTCTTGACAATCATCCTTCCAGTGAGACCAATTTTGTTTGGTTTCAGTGAACAGTAGAGATCTATCTCTCAGGTCCTGTGTCAAGTCTTTACTGGACTTTTTTTTCTCTATTTCTCAAGGATAGGACTTTGAGATCCTGTTCATTTTTAGTTTTTTAACGTTTCCATCACTTCTTCTATCCTCCACTTGTCCTATTTTCTATTATTTCTTTTTAAGAACCATCCTGCGATATACCAAGTTTTCAGCTAAGCTCTTTGGGAATCATTGTTGGTGCAAAATGCTATTTCATTTCTATCAAACTGAGTTATCTTTGGCATTTTTTTGTAGAATCAACTCAAGAAATGGGAGTAAATTATATGTTTTTAGGGCAGGGTGCTAATTACAAAGTGCCTAAAAATACAGTTTAAAATGACTTCCTTGCTACGTTATCTGTTATATGCAGACAAAATACTGGTTCATTCCTTGATTTAGATGCATTTTTATGCTTGAATGATTCACAGGTCAGTGTTAAGTGTCAGTGTTAATAAAGA